AAAAAAAAAAAAATGATAAAATTACATGTCGCTAATTCTCAAGTACATAGCTGCAGCTGCTCGTTCAGAGAAAGAATGTTGGAACTACTCTAGTGGATTGGAAATTTCTGATGGGGCTTTGTATAGATCTTCAAAGTAGTATTGTGAGTCACTGTCACTACCAGATAATAATGAAAGCAATGATGGATGGTTCACCAAAATGCGAATTTCTGAAGTAATATGCTTCTCAAGATAACAAACGAAGCAATTTAACCACATTGTTCCAAGGGTTTGGCACTATTAACAAATGTTGCGCTTTTGTTGAATCCCTCAAGCAAAAGAATGCGCACCGCTTCTACGCCATCTTGAAACGTAAAATTCAACTGAAAAGCATGTCTAGTAGTTAGAGTCCAGTATCAACCTAAACATAAGTTTCTCCCGAAGTTACATCAGAAACTCAACAAACCTCTTCAAGTTCTTGTTTAGTGAAGGGACGAAGAACAAAGTTCACAGGATCCATTTTCCCAGGAGGCCGTCCAATGCCTACAGAAATTCTCCAATTCAATGACATAATAAATAATGTAATTTTTAAAATAGTATAGGCAAACAATTTTAGTGCTCTAGGGAAAATACCGATTCTTAAACGGGGAAAATCTCGACTCCCTTTAAAGTGATCAATGACACTCCTCATCCTGCAAAAGAAAATGAATGAAGGGAACCTGAATAATCACAAGGGATTTCTATTTTTTTTCAGTTATTCTACCATCTGACTGTTGATATACGTAAAAAACATAAGCAATATTATATTCTGAGAATCATTAAGCCACAAGCAATCAGAATTTTTTCGCAATTGGCTTGATAAACCAAAGAAAAGATTTACATGCAACAAAACAGTCTTACTACAAGCAGGGAAAGAAAATCCACAAGTCACCACAGGTTCTTCCTAGTTTGAAATGTCACCGTGCAGCAAAAAATGTTTATAATCTTTATATTCATTCCTGAAGACAGGATGATTGTGGTTTAGGACAATGATATCATTTCTCATTGTCTTCAAGATAATACATATAGATCTGGAATACAGAGAAAAAGTATTCGTTTGGGGATCTTAGGGATCTGACAGGGTCCTTTCAAATTACAGGTCTAGGATACAGTGGTAGAGTTGCTCATTTGAAATATATTTTCCTTAGACACTGAGTTAAATCTAACAAAAACTAGTACATTAGCTAAAACAGAAAAGTAACATGGCAATGTGCAATTACCCATTGTGCCCTCCATGTCCACCTTTTGGCAAAAGCCGCAGTTTTGC